CTAGGAGAATGCTGTGGGAGACAGTGTGACATCCTCCTTCTTCCCAAACCCAATTGTGAAGGAATATGGAGGATTTAAGTTGTGAGCATGTCTAATCTCCCCACTTATTTTTCAGAAAATGTATGATCTTATAAATTCCCTACAAGCCTTCAGGATTTTATCCTTGGTGATAAGAATTATACTTAAGAAATAACTGTGGTATAAGCCCTTCCCTCATAGCAATTCTGCTGATAGGGCATTAGCACGAGCATTTCCTGCAACTGCACTGCTTTCAACAATGTACAACGGCATGGAGAAGGTTAGAAGGTATCTTCCTTCTGAGAAATAAAATCAGAGGCAAACACTTGAGACTAAATTGGTTTAGAAACTACAAATGTACCAAAACTGAGAAAGTCTTCTGGGTGGGGAATAGTGACACCTTTATGTTAACACAACAAATTGGAAAAAAGAGAGAAAGACTAAACCAAGCGAAAGAACTGAGTTTTGAGGAGAGATAGCATAGCTTGGCTAAGCAGTGTCAATACCAATTGTGCAGGTTTAATAGTTGAGAAAGTTTGGACAAACTGTGTAATAATTAACTACAGAGAAACTGTTGCTTCAAATACTAAAAGCTAATTGGGACATAGTGCTAGAGGGAGTATTGTAGGGAGTCATAACATATTGACAAAGTAGTGATTTCTAGATCTCACTCTGATTTATAAAATTATGTACTATTAGATCGTCCATGGAGAATTCTGTTTTCAAATCAGCCACAATTTGCAAAACAGAAAGATGTAAGAATTTGAACTCCGTTCCCATATCACAATCAGAGCATTAAGAAACAGATACCACTAATTATAAACAATCTTCTCATTCTTGAACACTCTCAGCTCATTACTTTTGCACTAAATTTTAAATTACTTACGTTTGCCATATTCCCAATGTAACAGAGGCAAGCCACAGTAGTCCAACAATAAAGAATTTGGGCAGATAGAAAGTTAAGCACTTCCTTTCCCCCTGTTGAGAAAACAAGAGTGTGGTGAAGGAGTGAACTCACATTTGAGATTTCATTCATTCTTGACAGAATAAAATAACTATCATCTTTGTTTCGTTCAATATGAACTAGATTAAAAGACTCACCTGTATTTTTAACCTATACAGGTGATTACAGAAGACATAAAATTGTATCATCATTTGTATTAATAAGATGCAGTAGATTTGAAGCATCCTATTTATAATTTCACATATTTCACTGATACTGCATATATAGGAATATGCTCCATAATTCATACTTATCTTATGCAGTACTTTAAAGTGGTTTAAAAACCAATCAACCACCATATACAACAACAAAACCCTTCAAGCAAGAACAAAGCATAATGGCATCATAATTCTGAAGACTGTCTTGCAATAGTTTAGAGTGGACTGTCCCATCTACCTCATTTAGGCATGGTAGCTTCAAGACAGTCTACTTCACCACAAATAATTTTAACTCCAAAGCTTCATGTGTCACATTGTACTTTAAGAATAAAATAAATGTCTCTCTTTTAAGAATTTGGTTTAATTTTTGTCACCTTTTGAGAGAACTGAAAAAACAAGTACTGTCTTCTCAGTAAGTAGTAGATAATGTTGCACCCTTACCTGTACTCTTATACCATGGTAGACACAAAGCCAGAACAACAATAGTGCACACAGAAACAGTGATTGGAATAGATCATCCAGCATTCCAGGAAACCAGCTGTTCACCAGAAAAGAAAGGGGGAAAAATGGATCTGTAACAAAATAAGAAAAAAAAAAAATTGGAGGGGAAAAAGCACAGTCTTTTCTATTATAAAAAGTAAAGCAGAATATATTTTCAGAGGAAAAAAAAAACCTAGGTTTTTCAAATTACACCAGTAAATGAAATTGAAGTTTGTTGTATCTTAAAGTAATTTACAAAGAAAATGGTGCCTCCAGCAGCAATCCTCTGTGCTCTGGAAATAATCTGAAATGATTGCCAACATTTCTAGAAGATTTCAGGTTTTATTAGACTTTCTACTAAACCACTGTTCTTGATGATGACCTAAAAAATTATCATAGAATGACTGAAAGACAAATATTCTTTTGGTACTGCTAGAGAGTGGTAGAATTTGATGTGGTTTACCGGATGAAAGGTAGCCTCTGTTTTTAACTAAAGCGCAAGTATCTGAAAAATGAAGAAGTAAGACTTAGCAGACAAACACAGAAATTGCATTTACATGTCGCTATATGAAAGATTCAGTATGGTGGCTGCCACCTAGACCAGTCAGAGCTTTAAACAAATAAAGTTGACATTCATGTGACTGGAAAGAATGAAATGCACCTACTCATTATGCCCTTGAATTTGATACACTTTAAAAAGGGTTGTTTTTTTTTTTTTAAATTATTTTTCTGAAGTCTTATAAACAGCTGCTTATAAGTTCACAGCCAAATTCCATTTTGCCTTCTCTCTCTCGTGCAGCTCTCTTTTTTTCTTCCTTTCTTTTGTTTTTTTTTTTTTGTTTTTTTTTTTAAAAAAGGGAGCTTTGGATACAAGTACCGTTGTAAAGTAGCAGAAGGGGAAGGAGGATGGACATCCATTTCTGTTCAATGCCCCAGTCTCTCATGGAGAATTTCCGCAAGGAATGTGCAAACAGACACTATAAAACAACAACAACAACAAAAATTTGTAAGGAAGGAATACAGCCTTAATGATTTTACCAGAGTAAAGAGATAACACAGCACATTGCAAAGGCCACTTCACGAGGTCTTTGTCACTAAGAACACTGTAAAACAGGAGCCACATCTCCTAGCTTCTACTTCAAGTTTGCTGGCTTACCCCAATGCAAATTACTTTATCTTTCAAGCAAACTGAGAAGAAAACCAGCTAGTACCACGCAAATCAACAATGTATGAAAAAACGTTGCCTAATTACTGGTCACATACTACCAACAACTTCCACTTAAACTCACTTTTTAAAAAAATAGATTCCATATCACATTCACAGTTACCTGCTGAGTGACATCATCTATATGAGGAAAATGCTATGCGAGTGTTCAGTGCTTTAGTGTCCTTACTCTGAAAATTCTGCATTTTAGATTTTATGTTGCTTTTCTTTCCCAAACACTTCTTTTCCAGGGGCCAAACCAGGTTGGAGGGGAGAGATAATCTAAATCATAGCATAATTCAGGTTGTAAGGGACCTCTGGAGGTCATCTGGCCCATCCTCACACTCAAGGCAGTGACGACTTTAAAGTTAGATCAAAATCATATTCAGCTGAGTTTTGCTCATTTTCAGAGACAGAAAGCCCACACTCTGGGCATCCTATTCCAATGTCTGAGCCTACCTGCACTGCAAAAAAAAATTTTTTCTAGCATCTAATCACAATTTCTTTTGTTTAAGCAAAATTCTTTCTGTTCAATTCAAAATCAGAGTTTAGAAAAACAAGTTTTCCCATTTATCCTATTTTCTTAATGTCCCTTCAATACCACTTGTAAAAACATAAAAGCAGCAATTACATAAGTATTTTAGAAACATTTTTTACACCCATCCAGTGATATCTCAACTCTACTGCCTGCGGTTAAGTTACTAAACACAGCACTACAGAGCAGTGTTATCAGCTGCCTACATAATATACTCCAGAAAAACAAAATCTTACCGTGACCATAAAAGTAAGAACTACAAAGACAAACCGGAACCATATTTCCACTTGTGAAAAAGTTGGATTGTAGGTCTTCCACTACAAGAAAACAGAAGAAAAATAGTCCAATGAACAATGTTTTGACAGGGAACATACGACATCAATAATTAGCACTTTCTGCAGATACTGAAAAGTTCTCTGGCTTTTCAAAATTTAAAGGTATAACCAAATTCCACCATGTCACCATGGAAAGACAAAGATAAATTCATACCCATAGGACTATCTGATGAAAAGAGAACCAAAGCAGCCTAATACCCTTGCTTCTCTTTTACCCTGCCACTTTGTAACATACTCCGTGTGTTGTCATATGTTAAGGCACTTCTCAGGACAAGAAGGATATTCTTCATTGATTTCAATTGCACTTTCATTCAAAGTTTGAATGCCAATAATTGAGTAAATCCAGTATGATGTTCTTTATTACCAAGGTCAGATGCATAAATTGATTATGAAGAGCTTGATAAGGTACAGGCATGCTTCCTGTAATGGGTTCATTTTCTTAAAGCTTATTCTCTTGTGACGGAAGTGGAAAAAAGAAAATCAAGTGAAGGAAGAGTAAATGACCTAACCAGAAATAAAGAACTTTTTTCATAGGGTAAGGAGGAAAAGCTCCTTCTTCTCGTCTAATTACTAGACGGGCACAAATATTAATTATAACATGTCAGTTTCCATAAACTCTGCTCTGTTGACAATTTATCTCATACCTGGCATGCTTCTCTTTTGAAGCCACTTTTGAAATGTAAACTCCCTGGTACAACATATGCTCTGCCATCTGAACAAGAAGCTTTACCTTTCAATGTATTAGATCTGTCAACCTCTGTCTTGTCCTTTTAAACCGGAAATGTAGAATGAAAATTATACGTAGAGAATCCCATCATACAAAAGGCAATCTATGATTTCAACTGAGATCATCATAAACCATTGCAATAATGAAATAAATTGACAATTTTAATTACTGTGGGAAAGCAGAGCTTTGGGTTTGGGTTTTTTGGTTTTGCGCACAAGTCTGCCTTAAAGGCAGCCTGCAAAGCAAGATAATAAACTGTACAACTATAAATACTCCAACACTTTGTCCTGTCTGAAATCTGGAACTAAGAAAAGGGTTTGTGAGTATGTGCTTTATGCACTAGAATGTTACAAATATTAATATTCAGGAAGTTCATTTAGTATATAAAACCCACTTTTGCTTTACCATAAGATTTTTGCTTGCTGCCTGCTCTGACATATCGAATGTTGCATACAGGTAGAATATACCATAGTAACCTGTATATAAATTTGGTTTAGTTCCATTTTCTCCCTATGCAAATGTTTCTAAATTTCTTTCTGGAGCCAATCAGCACACACTGATGATGTAACTGTTTTATAAGCAATCTTTAGCACTATGAATTTAGCTAATTATTTCATTAGGGATTATTTTAGGGAATTATTCTATTAGTCTGCTTATTTTAGCTGAATAAACATTTTTCTCTTCCTCATAAGCACAGTCAAAAAAAAAAAATCTTCATTTTTCTCTGAGTTTGTTAAATCTTTCTAACCCACGCTTTTGTAAAGTCTGGAAAAATCTTGCTAATTCAGATACACCTACTGGAAAGGCTGAAAAAGATACCATGCTTTAGAGAGGCAACATCTCTATATGCAAATGCAGAAAACTGGATGTTCTAGTCTAGCTTGCCTACTGCTAAAAACATCTCCCAAGAATTAGACTAAATTTATCTGTTCCAGAAAACAGCATTAGCAATTCTGAAAGAAAAATCTTTCCTTATAGAGTTAAAAAAATTGCCCTAGACAGTTAACAGCAAATCTATAACAGTTCTGACATTAGTAGTGACAGAAAAATTAATTATGATGCATCTTTGTGTTTTTCTTCAAAAATGAGATAACTTTTTTATTACAGTTAAAGCAGACTTCTACAGCATTAGTAATTAAAGAGATTTCTTTTGGTAGTATAAAACTTTATACTTACTGTGAAAGTAATATTCTGGATGGTGTACGTTAACTTATTTAGATCTTCAAAGCTAACAAATATGTTGTACTGAGTGTAGTTCAGGTAGCCAAGGTGAACAACAATGATTTCACTGCATTTCTGTGAACACATACAGTGAAGAATAGTATGTAAAAGCCTTCAATTTATTCCAGAATATGCACTGTTAGTATAGGTTGGAGAATTTGTTTCTAAATGGTCAGATATCTATCATATTTATTAAATGCCTTACCAATCTTGATCAGTCAGAATAACACTCAAACAAGACCCGCAGATAAAGCATTTCTTGAAAGATACCAGACAAAGCAGAAGAAACTGATAGTCAGTCAGCAGGATCAAAGGTTGAACCAATAAACAAGGCTAGCTTTTCACTTATGCTGGTGAAAGCAACTGCTTGCAGCACCAGGAAGGATCTGAATAACTCTGTCAGTCAAGCTCTAGATCATCAGATTGTGAGATGGGGCTATCTTGTACTAACTAATTTCTAAAAATTAACAGGAGGAAAGAGAAAACCCAAGCATATTGCTCTCTTGGCTGTGTGTAATTAAATCTAATGGAACGCTGTTCATTAATTTCTGTAGATTTCATATATATGTGTATATATATATAAAAAGAAAACATTTGATTTACCCTATATGCTTATCACAAAAACCTTCAGCTATGCCTTTCCTAAAGGACTTGCACCTAGAGAAGCTGGTTTGGACTCTCTGCTAGGTGTTGGAGGAGAATTTTTCTCTCCTCTGGCATCCTATATCCAATCTTCTACAATATCCCTTTCTTCAGTACTGCTAAATCTGTTTAGGTGACTAAGCAGGACACAGTGCTTTGCTGGCAGAGAGCTACTCTAATACGAAAGAGGAGTCTTTAAGGAGTAATAGACACAAGTCATAGAAGTAAACAAAAAAGCTGGATAGGTAGATACCTTGGTCAGCATTACTAGCTAGGTTGCAATTATAAATAAAAGTATACTCTAGAGTCTTTCCTGAGACGTGCTTAACAGATATATTCATCTCATTTGCAATGTAATGTAGCATGCACACAAATAGATTTAAAGAAAATGTACTGCATCAGAGTTTTGTTTAAGCAGGCACATACTTGTGCACAACTGAGTAATCTCATCCGATTGTGAACTTGATTATTAACATATGGTGTGCTTCCATCCTTCACCACTCCAAGTACTTTGACTGTCATAGAAACATTCTTCTTGAGGGATACTGTAATTAAAAGAGAAAACATTAAGCTATTGCTACATGCAGAAATGAAATCTCAAATAGAGTTCCAAATATAGTTTAAAACACATATGATATCCAAAGATTATTCAAAGTTATTCACTTATACTTCACTGGAGTAGAGGTCCAGTATATTAATAAAAAAACGACAAAACTTTTTATTTATGTACTTAGGCAGTAAGTCACAAATGCCCTGTATGGAGTCTTGACAGATTAACAATTACTAATACAGTATTTCTCACATATTTACAGGGAAGTTTTATTGAAAAATTAATATAATTACAATCTACACACCTAATTCCCCTCAAAATGAAGGGAGAGAGACACAGATTCTCTAGATACTACTGCTTTCACAGAAATAACAACCAACCTATCCCATATACCTGTTGCTTCCAGTTCTCAAGATCAGTGCCATCCGTGTCTTTGTGGGGGGCAGGGGGTGGAGGGGGAGAAACTGTATCAGAGGAAAAACCCACCAACCACAGTGAGAAAGCAACAGGATCATGTATGTGACAGATGAAATTAAATATACAATATACAATACACAGGTTGCTATAGCAATTTCCTGAGAATTAGGTAAGATTCTCACCATCGTGCTGATCCAACTCAACTATGCAAGTCAGCCACAGCTGCTGATTGTAAGTAGACAGTGGTGGTGAACTTAAATTAAATGGCTTCAGCTGTAAAAAAACCCACAAGGTTAGCACTAGCCGTTATTCTGTTACATGATATATCTGTAGTTACAATGGTGAAAGGCACGTTAATTATGTTTGTGACAGTATTTTTGGGAGTAGATTTAATATGTGCTACTCTGTGGACAGTATGATAAGCAGCTCAAATGTAAGTCTTCCAGAGAAGCAGCTTAAACAGCACATGGATTTTGCACAGCACAGAAGTAAGGAAAGGTACGACTACTTAAAGCACATAAAAGCAGCAGCAATAAAACAAAAAAGTTCAGATATAAAAAACAATATCCTGAGACCTAGCCTGAAAATAAAAAGTCATTTCTAGCACTTTACATCAAAAGTCAGATTTGTGACCCCTCATCTGCTACAGTTTTAAACTTGTTCAACTATAATTATGAAAACAACAACTATTTTTCCACTAGGTGTTCTAAAAATCCCACATTCATTTCAAAAGCATGGAAGATATCATTAACAGATAAAATCTACATGCAGGAAATACTTCTCTTATTTGATATAAAAATATGCTTGGTACCAATCGAAACATATTTAGGTGACTAATAGTCCAAAAAAAGAAATGTTCCAGTGTATTTAAAGAAAATTTACTTCAAAAAAGAAATCAAAACAAAACAACAAAACTTTTTTAGCACTTTCACAAAAATCACTTTAGATATTAGGTTGACAGCAAAGAGCTAGACAGAAATAAAAATGCAAGAACTGAGAACCAAAATATGAAAGCTTTCAAGAAAATGAATGTGAAGGTTCATGTTAGGAAGCCAGAGCCCATGTCTTGGTCACTGTCCTGGTTTTGGCTGGGATAGGGTTAAATTTCTTCCTAGTGCTGTGTTTTGGATTTCGTATGAGGAGAATGTTGATAACACACTGATGTTTTCAGTTGTTGCTAAGTGCCCTCCTAGTCCAAGGACAGCTCCCATTCATGCTGACTGAGCTAGGTACACAAGATGGGAGGGAACATAATCAGGACAGCCAGCCCAGCTGGCTAATGGGGTATTCCATACCATGTGACATCATGCTCAGTATATGAATGGTAGGCGTGATCCAGGAAGGACCGATCGTTATCGGTCCTATGGAAGGACGATGGTTATCGGTCAGCGCAGGTGGTCAGCAATTGCATTGTGCATCACTCATTTTGTATATCTTATCATTACCATTATTATTTTCCCTTCTCTGTTCTATTAAACTGTCTTTATCTCAACTCACAAGTTTTTCTCACTCTTACCTTTCCGATTCTCTCCCCGTCCCACGGCGGGGGGAGTGAGTGAGCAGCTGCGTGGTATTTGGCTGCCTGCCAGGTTAAACCACAACAGTCATGTGACAGTGAACAACTAACAAGAAAAGGAAATATTCCTTCCCAGCTAACAGAAAGGAAGATCACAAAAGGGATATCACTAGTTGCCACTGAAAGCATTGTTTTTCAGTTTATGTTCTCAATTTCTATTTCTGGCCCCCCTACAAGAATCTCCAACATTAACTCACCAGGGAATCTTAGCAACACTTAAGTGCTACTTTATCAGAAATTACTGTGCAGAAACATCATAGAATTCTCTACCTTACCTGCTGACAAAGTAAGAGACTAGAAATTGCTGCTGGGCCAACTTATGAAATAACACAGTGGTAGTACAATATTGCACGTCCAATTTCAAACTGGAAAGCACCATGTGGCCAAGAAGTTTTCCAGTAAAAATCTAAATACTTAAAATAATTGCGGGGAAGGAGGGGAATGTTTAACATTACTGACATCAAATAAAGCCATTCATGTAATCCAATGATATTTACTAACTCTTACCTTTAGGCTGTTATTTAAGTCGGTTCTTGCTACAGAAGTTTCAATTACATTAGGACCTAAACAATATATAAGAAGGAAGAAAGAAAATTATATTGAAGTATGCGTATTACTGATAAGTAATGACGTAAATTTAGGATGTCAAAAGACTGTGCAAAATACCTCCCTGCAAAGCAGGTAAATAGTATCCCACTTTTCAGATGTTTAAGCTGAAGGGTAAATCACTTAGACATTTCAATATCATTAATAAACTTGGCCTGAATGTTCCTTTAAGCCTCTCTGCCATAGTATTTCTAGACATGATTAAATAGAAAGTAAATTATATATCAAGAACTCCATGTCAGAAGCCCTGCATGTATACTCTGAACTACTACAACAAATCACACAGTATTTTTCCCGAACTAAGCTGTACACTGCAGTCATGAAAATACTCAGCTACAGAAAAAGCTAGCTAAGCACCAGTGGCACTGTTGTTACAGCAACTTGAACCTCAACAAGGGCTGCAAAAACCACCCGAAAAAACCACATATTTAATTGCACTATAAAATTTCTACAGCCAAACTGCTACCATTACCTGATTTACATAGAGCATAGCATCCATAACGCATTGCACTCAAAGCTCAGGTACCAGGACAAACATATCCCATTGTATTTGAGTGCATAATGCCAATGCCTTTTTATGTATGTGTAGTGTACTTGCTTGTACAATCACAACAACAGTACTCTCTGGCTAGTGCTGGATTTTCATCGCATTGGTCTGTTCAAGCCAAGATACCCACATGTTTGTTTAGGAACAGTTCTCAGCCTACTCAGATTGGGCCCCTCCTTTTTTATAGAAATTTGAGGCTATAATATATTAATAAACATAAATAAACATAATTGCATAAAAGTTCCATAAACAATTTCTCCTAAAACAGACAATCCATTTAATCAATGGAGTTTCATGTCCAATTGTTGGAGATGTGGGAGATGTTCAGCTTGCTACCAGACTTTTTATGCAACCATTCCTCCAATCATTCTGGATACAGACACGCACACTTAACAGGCACTGATCAACTGCATCTGTCCACTCACACCCTACCTCTAGTTCTGTATACAGTAAATGGGAAGCAATAAAATAATAATTTATGTTACAAGAGAGCTCCAGAGGCCATCTAGTCCACCCTCTTGTTTAACTAGATTAGGTTGCTAAGGGCCACATCCAGTCAAGTCTTGAACATCTCTAAAGACAGATACTCCCACAACCTCCCTGAGCAACTTGTTCCAGTATTTAACCAGCCTTATGGTAAGAAAAAATTTCCTAATATCTAACTGGAATTTCTTGTGTTCCAGTTTGCGTCTGTTGCCTCTCATCCTATCATCATGCACCTCTGAGAAGAGTCTAGCCCCATCTTCTGTGTATCCTCTGATAAGGTTGTTGTAGACAGTGGTACAGTTTTCCCTTAGCCTTCTTAGGTATGCAAGAACACATGGTACTGGGAGATGAGGAATGCATGCATGTATGTACATACACAAAATTATGTACTCATGCATGCATATGTCCATACACAAACTAAACCAGAAAAAATGAAAGAGTAGGAGAAAGTCTGTATATATACCGGGGTGTGAAGAAACACAGAGGAGATGTATAGCAGGTAGGGACATAGGCAGGACATATATGTGTATATTTGGGTCACCCCAGGGGCTTCCCAGTTACAGTAAGATTTCTCTGTCCAAATGGTCTTTCCCCTTATGTATTCAGTCTGGCAATTTAATGTAAGTTATTAATCCTCAAAACATGCTGTTTCAGCCACAAAATTAGTATTAACAGAATTACGCAAGAAAAGCAGTTTTTCACAAAGACCATGGACTTCAAAGTTACTACAGAGAAAGAATGGAAAACAAGGAAGTTTATAAATGAGCAACATGGGATCATTCTGTGCAAGAAGTATTTTAGGTTAACTATCACGACAGCTCTAAACATGCAGCATTGCTTGGTCTTCTATAACCACTCTAATTACCATATTAATAATATTAACCATCTTACAGACTTTAAATGGAAAAATGAAGAATTTCACCCATCACACTCAAAGCTTCATATTAGAATTACAGTTCAACTTCTCTAACACCCACCCACTATAAAGTCAGTTCTGCGTCACTGAACTTTTCAGTTCTCAAGTACATATAAACAGGGCAGATTTTTGGAAGGCATTTTTGTTTTGAAAAGCATAATTCAATTTCAGTAAGTGCTCACAGTTGATAAGTCATCGTATTTCAGTAATTAAGTCTTAAGAAAAACAACAGAATGAGCCTTTTTTAAAAGTTTTTTTTTTACCAGAAGATATGAACCAATATTGGGGCAGAGAGATCATAGTCCCAGTTTTTAAGAGGAGCAACCAAAAAAATAATGAGGTTCTGCTGCTATAACGGCTACTCCTCTAGAAAGCAATGTATTAAAGTTTTTTAAAGCAACTGACCAAAATGATGCTGTGGTCATTTTATTAAAAAATGGTGATTAAATGACATTGTTACTGTTTTTCTTTTAGTTTTGCTCAGTTAACAGAATCGCATCTGAAAGCAAGGAACCACCCTGAGGTGGTGAACAGGAAAGCTGCACAGGTACAGAAAATGAGCTCTGCACTTTGTATTTTCCTTGCACTTGTCTCACCCCAAAGATAACACAGACCCCTTGGGAAAAGGGAAAGAAAGTGAATGTAACTTGGGAAAAAAAAAACAAGTCTGTGTCTATCTTGGGTTACAAGAACCGAAGAGCAACAGCCACCTCAGATTAAACTGTCTTGTTTTCTCAGATGAGAAACAAGACTTCTGCTAGGCTTCCCAAACTGCACGTAGAGATGTTAAGTATGGGCAATGGCATATTCAAGTAGCACAGAAAATATGGATGTATCTCCCACTTTTTCATTTACTTAGTGGGTTTGGTAAGTTTTGCTCAGACTGCACCCTTTAATGAGGGAGAACTCTATTGTTTGTGCCCCTCCCTCTACTCACAGGAAGCAAGGAGCTGTCAACAAAAGACGTGAAAAACATCACAGTAAGTGTTCAGTGGGTCTCCTCCCAAGATAAACAGCATTCTTTTAAAAATAATTAAGTTATAATAATGAACTGTGTTCATGCTTTGTCAACAAAACTATCCAGCAAACCAATCTTACAAGGACAAGAATCTCACAGCCGTACCAGTTCCCAAAGGGGATCACAGGCGAGTCCTGGGACCCCAGCAGGGTACAGATGACCAAGCGCCGCTTACAGCAGCCAAGCCCCTGGACCAAAGGCAACCACATCATCAGATCGCTCTGCACACAGATGCAATGCAACACACCGACACGGCTCTCTTTCAGGTTCTGCTACCGATTAAGAATGAAATGCTCAGTTTTCTCTTCTAGGAGCACTGCTTTTTGCCTAGTCTTACGTAAAACAATTTTCTTGCATTTCTTGCAACTGGGCAGTATAAATACACAACTACAAATATGGTTCAATTTTTAAGCCAAATAGCCAAATGACACTAAATTAAGTAATTCCAGTTTTTTTCCTTTATCATTCATATAAAACACATTTTTGTAAATGTATTTATCCGGTATTTTAGTGGCCAAATAATGCCCTTAGGCAAGTCACAGGAATATCAGTGATTAACCTTTATGAACTGAAAGTCTGTTTGGACCTTAGGCTGCTACAATAAATCAAACAGCAGGAAAGAAGGGTTTATTTCACAGACAAATTTTATTATTTAATGCTATTATGAAGAATCTACTGCCTACATGGCACGGATGAGCACAAAAAGCCCAAACAGCTGCTTCCAATTAACCCCCCGCTTCTTTCCAAGGCAGGCAGGAGCGGATAAGTCCCAGGCCTGGGCAGCCCGTCTCATTCTAAAGGAAGTGAAGGACAGGGCAGAGGTAGAGACAACCTTACATACAGGTCAAGAGGTGTCAGAGAGTGGCACAGGAGGACACGCTGGGTGACGTGGAACTAAGCAGTAAAGCGGGGGGAGGTGGTAACGTCCTTAAATAATTCTTACATGGGGGCAGGTTGCTTAAGGAGTACAAGTCCCTCCCTTCCCCTCTCCCTGTCTGTCATTTAACTTCTGTGTTGACAAAGCTATCCTGACAGCAGAGTATTAGCTTATTAGCACTGCAGTGACAGCACACTGACTTCTTTTTCAAGTACGTTTTAGACCTGGAAAAGCTCTCTGGCATGAAATACAGAGGGCTCCCACGCTTCCATCTGCCTAATGACACTCTGCATCTTTGTCGACCAGACTTCCACAAATCTCCCTGATCTCCAGGATAAGTATCCAGGCACTGAGTGCTTAGCCGCCCAGATCACGTCATGACTCCCACAAAGGTCTTTGAAACCAGAGACCTAAGCTCATATATGTTCGACAACAGAAGTTTGTATTTTTACATTACTAAAATATTTTATATTTTGGTGGCATTTATCACCCAAACATTTAGAAGGCTTTACAAATAGTTATCTACTTCCTCATAGGAAATCAAGTATTAGCACCACAATTTTACAGATTGAAATACAAAGAAGAAAATTAATGTAGCAGTCTGCTGAAAAATTATGTTACAATGAAGCTGGTTTTGTTTTACTTTACTGACTCCTCCCTGCAAAGCAGTTGCAAATACCAAATCTGTGTAGGTAGTACTCCTATGAAAAAATGAGATGGAAGAAACACTTCCCCCTCCCTGTCAAAAGTAATGCTTCCTCAGACATCTCAGGGGCACTAAGCTTACTAGCATTTAAATACATCTGTAAATACCAACAGGTTTAGACAAAGCATACAAGAACTGTAACCTTTTAAAAAGACAGCATCCTTACCTGCTATTCCTATGAAGACTGTCAAACCAAAACAAACAAAGAATACTACAAAGACCAGAACAAAATGCCGTTTGGACAGTGTATATAATCGCATCGGTGCCAGCCTACAGGAAGCAAAAGAAAGCACAGAATTAGCTGTCAGTCATATTTCTAAAGGGGAAAAAAAAAATAGACCCCATTCATTCCTCCACAAAGAAAATTAGACCAAACTCTGAGGTAAAACCTAACACTTAGAAAAAAAAAATTAATGCTGCTTTATAGAGTAAGGTTAACTACTAGGAATTATTAGACATATGTAGGTGCATGCACATCTGCGCCTCAAAATGTATGAATTTTGCCCATTCCTTTTATGCTAGGGTTTTCTATTGTCCTAAGACTTGAGCAAGAGAAAGCATTTCTTAGAGGGAGAAAAAGTTACATTTTTTTAGTTCATGCGTTAATAATTTAAACAGCCACGATACCATGTCTCCTGCAATGACAGCTTAACCTAAAGGGATTGACTTCACTAACAACTCAGTTACTTGCACAGGATCTTGATGAGTTTTCTACATCATATATATACTTCATCCCTGCAGGATCATCCCTAACAAGGAGTAAGGCAGAACTTCAGATCTGCTAGATGTGCATGCTCAGGCTCTGCATTCTTGTCTGAGCTCCACCAAAGCTTGGGAAATAGAAACCTGAACTTAAGTTTATTATTAGACACTTAAATACAAATACACATAAAAGCAATAACATCTCTTCCACAACTGGTTGGTGGTTATCATTAGGTCAAAGACAAAATAGAGGGGAAAAAAAAGTACTGAAAGGACCAATTGCATTCTCCTGGAAACAGGTAAATTCCAGTTCTGTAAGCTTAAGGGAAATATCTGTTAGCTTAAGGGAAATATGATCGAAGAATTAATCCTACATAACATATCCCTCCTTTATCTTCCTTTTTGTTAAATGCATAGTTCAAAAAAGGACAAATCCACCACGTTTCAAAATACAAGCAACATTTTGTTTTGAGTTGTGCCAGAACTGAGCCACCATATAGTTGATTTTCTACTGCTGTTCCAGTAGGTATGATCATAGAAAGCTGTACAGTTTATATGGGAAAGCTGTAGGATTGGAGGGGGGGTGAGTGTGGTGGTGGTGTTTTCCAATAAAAGTTGTAAGAGCACCATCACGGAAAGAAATGAAAGCGTAAGACTTTAATGACAGTACTCCCTTTCAGCTTGGAATAAAACTTCTTTTCACCAGCTGAATGGTGCTCTTACTGGTTCACTACATTAATGAAGAAATGCAGAAAAGATGGTGGAATCTTTCCATAAGCCCAGCCTGAATTCTGGGACCAGGTACCCCAGGCCTGCATGCCTGTCAGCCCTTAAAAGCCAGGCAAACAATTAACTTTAAACCATTAAAAGGATTTAATAATAACATCTATTTTCTTTAAGAATCACTGCATTCTCTCCAAACGAGGCACTACAAAAATAATTACATCATTCCTTTACTGTGAAGTTAAGATCCAATCTTAATTTAACTCACAAAGGAGGTGGGGAAGGGAGGAAAAACCCACAGAAGTAATGAGAACTGCAAGCAAATAACTGTAAATGCTACAAGTTTGTGCAAAGTGGCTGTAGAGGACTCCGGGCACAGCACCTGCAAACAGTGTAACTTGCCTTGCCACACACCGTTATGCTGAGCAAAAGTCCCGCACCAGTCTAAGCAGTCAGAATAGCTGATTGTACAGGCAAAAAAGGTAAATCGTACATGAAATTATCACAACCATAAACAGGAACAGATCAGGTCTTTGTCACAGAGATCACTACACAGAAGTCTCACAGACAAATATGATTTTAAGTTGACTTTGAAAAATGCCAATTAATAGAGGCATTTCAAACCAGAACTTGTCTGCACAACTTTTGCAGCGATGTAACTACAGTATTTTCCTTAAATCAATGTCTTAACACCTTAGCCTTCATGCACTTAAACCACTCTAAAGCTATTACATCTGTACTAGTACTAAAATAACTAACTAACTAAATAAGCTGCATTTTCCTATTGGTTCCAAGGGCTCCTTCAGTTCTACAGATGATCTGGTATTCCTTGTCTGCCTAAGAACACCATGTATGGGATATTATCTTGAGATACCAAAATACTATCTTAACAAGAAAATCCTTGATATATAAAAATGGTATATAAAATGTTGATACGCCTAAATTAACTATAAGGGTTCAAGTGGATACCAAATGCTTCATGGAAGAGCACCCACTGAGGAATACTCAATACACAGAAACCAGGTCTGGATTCGAAAGTCCATGGGTTGAGAATAGCTGAAGACTGGAAGAGTATCATATATATGCAGGAAAGTATCACATATGCTTGTGTTGTTCTTAATAGCTTACATCTGGGCATCCGCTTAACAGCTACAGTCTGATGCAGGGTACTTCTGACTTGTTATGCATATTCTTGGTTATGTTGATAAGCTTTCTATTTTCCAATTTTCTGTAGACATTTCAAAGCGCATAATGCGAACATGAAAAGCAGTTTCATCTCCGCAGTCCTTACAGGAAAGTCACCAGAGTTCACCCAGCCAACACTCACAGCTTTACAGCTATGGGCAATTATCACCTTGGTTTACTCATACACCAGAGCACAGATGACCTTGCAAGCTTTCGAAGAAACATGTTCCAGACATTGGCTCATTCTTTATTCCAACTCCTCTCCAGGTGGTGCAATACCCAGTAGTCAAAATGGGTACATATACACCTACCTAAGAACAGTCATGCTGGCGCTTTACAAAGAAAGGAGGGACACACTGTCTTTTCCCTTCTTCTTTCATACTGGTACTCCTGAAGTCTCATTTAAGCCACTGACTGTATGTGCTACTTTACAGGTCAGTAAGGCAACACGGACACTTTTTGTAAGAGCAAATGTAAGAACTCGGCCAAATCTTAACTACATTTATCATGACAGCAAACAACAATTTATAGCATTCCTATCGGATGATGTATTCTTCATTGCCCCTCGCTGCAATAACAGAATTTCCTTGTGTGGTTTAAGCGTCTCATTTCAGCCTACCACCAGCTGACATACAAAGCAGATAAAATGATCCTCCCGTAGGTTCATTGTTTAACATCTGCCTTTTGGAAAGAGATTATACAAAATTTATGCATATACGTAAGTACAAGTTGATGATCCCCCACTAACAGCTTCTTTCTTACATCTGAAAAGCCTAATAAAGAATGAAATGTTTGAAAGGCATTTATAGGAAAAGCAAAAAAGGTTCCTCACTCTGGAAGCACCTGTTCAAACGAGTAAAGAACTGTGCTTTGCTTTACCGATGGAAGACGCTTTAATCAGCCTAGCCAAGGTAGTCCGAAGCTTAAGACTAGCCATCCAAGTGTCTGCAGATTTCTCAGGCAGCTTTTATCACCTGTACTGCGTTTTATCCTAACTCAGAAAGAAACTAAATATTTTATAATTAAATTGGACATGTCTGAAACTAACTGCAAAGGAGCAGAACTCACTGAGATACAGAGAAACACTATACATAGACACCTCAAACAGTAGTCAGTAAAAACTAAACTGCACTAATGCAATCTGTGATAGAGTGAACTATGGAAACACACAGCTGTAACAACTGCAATCTTTCAGTAGCCATTCATATGTGAGTTGTAAAGGTAGGTTAAATCTTCCTCTTTGAGTAAAGTTTTGGCTCAAATGGTTAAGCAAAATGTTTCTCAGGCTGTTCCTCATCTTCAAGTCACTTCTAACGCCTGCACAACACAGTCTTTATTAGAGTAAAGGCTACCATGAAAAACAGAGCCTTCTATACAATAGTTTTCACTTAAGACACTCACTTTGCAGACGGGGAGGCTGTGCTTCAGCAGTGGGATTAAGCAGTAGATAGCACAGAGTTATGTTAAAATCAGAAATAACTCACCTTTACGTACAGTAGTTTTTCTGATATACTAGCCTCAACATCTTTGCCTCCAACTGCTCTGTTCTATTTTAGGCTCACTCCCAAATAAAACCATCAACACCACTTTGATTTAAATTATTAGATATGCTACCTATATTCATAGTACTGGGTCTATCTGCACATACTGCACTTTCTCATGGTTTAAAGACACTGCTTGCTTCGGTGTCCCTCAGAAGACCTTGAATTTCTTCTTGCAGGTGTGTTCCACCATGGTTAATAACTAATGAGGTAGCACATGACTACATAAAAAGATGCATACAACTCATATCAACAGTACTACGTGATACTGTTGTACGACAACTGAAAGCTAACCATGACTTTGCTAAACAGCTCGTGTGCACAGGGTGGGTTTGGCTTTTTTTTAGTGTCTTGTTTGTTGTACTCATTGAAGTCTGAGTAATTAGTCAGGACTATCACTTTATCCATGCGGAGACACATCCGGGAAAATAAGTTTTTCTTTTTCCTTAACAGGCACAATCTGACAGTGGAGATACAGGGAGGGTTATTCACCAGGTAAGAGGAAAAACCGCAGCGTTCCTCTAAAGAAGCGGGTAGTTACTCTCAGGTTTCTGACTGGTGAACCATAGCCTCAGAAACATTAATGTAACCCTCGGTGATCTTACTTCCTTAATGAGAATTAACGCGTATAAACTGAATGACAAGATTCAGGTCTTTACAAGGGAAAGGCTTAAGTTACCGCACCCGGACAGAGAAGGCATTTCTTCTCCCCGCCCCGGACCCGGTCCCAAGCAAACAAGGACGTCCCGGTCCCGGCAGCATCGGGTCGGTGCCTGCCCTCCCCGAGACCTAGCGGACCGCGCCGG